GGAGCTAAAAATGCTAGCCATTTAAGAATGGGGCCATCTATTTTCTGTAAGTGTTTATGGAATTAATTATCTGGTGAATGAATAAGTGAACCGAAAGAACCCTATCACACCCCTGTGGGTACATTGACCTCCTGTTGATGTTCCTGTGTCCCCTGGAAAGTGTGGCCTTCGCTGCTCATCAGCTCTAACACAAGGGGCCCAGGGGACCCAGTCTCCTAAGGAAGAGCCCCCCTGAGAACGTGAAGGGAACACGGTAGGAGAAAGACTCGCTTTGTTTCCCTGGCTGCTCATGGCCCATCCAGTCACCTGGAGATGACACACTGCCCGGCTGGTTTTCACAGGCCTCCCTAAGTGGCCTTCCTGGCCTCGGCGACTGGACCACCAGCCTTCCAGATGCAGAGCCTGTCGGCCCAATAAGAGAGGACCTTCCTTGCAGAGCCTTAGGTGTGTGAGCCAGCCCATGGGCCCGATCTAGAAAACCCCGAATGCCAAACTATCCACGCAACCGCCTGCCTGCAGTCTCTTATCGGAAGCTCATCAGGCCAGATGGGCACTGGAATTCAAAAGCTTTAGCATTTTGAAGGGTCATGCAGCGTGCCTACCTTACATGGCAGCAACACCCACAGCTGAACAGCAAGTAGCACCACTCAATTCAAACCCCAGTCTCTTTCCCAACTTACTGACATGATCGTGGGCAAGCTCTTCATGTGTGAGTTTCTCCCGAAAACTTTAGATATAGTTCATTTAGATATCATTTCCACGAAATACACCCGAGTGTTGACCTCATCGGGTTATCATAAAAGTGAAACAAATTCGTGCATGTGAGGCATCTGGAAGAGTGGCAGGAACACAGTCAGTGCACAAGACACTCCGCTGCTGTTGTCATTTGAATTTCACTGAGATCCCGCGCCAGGACCCATCCCAGTCTGGTCAGCAGTGTCTCCCTTTGGCGACAGCTCTATGGGGAGATAGTGTGTCCACATGTCAGTTGCTCCCCCACAGTGTGGAAGGACTGTTCCGGTGTCCGGACTGCCCCAGTCCCTAGGACCAGTGTAGTCTCTCCCCTGTGAGTCGGTCTCCTAGCGGAGCCAGATAATCATCAGAAGGCTGCTTGCCAAGCGCGGGGTCACAAAATGTAAATGACTCGAGTGCTAATAACATCAGGCGGAAACACCCTGACACATGCCTCTGACCACAGGCCAGCCTCCCCAGCATCCGCGGCACAGAGGTCAAGGTAGGAGGTCCCCCATCCCTCTTCCTGAGACGCTGCTAGGCCACCCTGCCACCATGTGCCTCAGGACGCCCCTCTTCCGACTATTCTTCACAGATGTCAATCAATCCGCTAAGGCCACCTCTTGTTTGTCATGTACACTCAGGCCCCGGAGCCCTTCTGTTGGCATAAGGTGACTTCAGGCATCTCTGATTGGATCCCCTGTACGATGATGCCACAGCGCAATGCTGTGAAGGCGGTCTTTCCTTCACCTTCAAGTTCCTAGAAGACGGCTCTGTACAGCCATTTGGACCAGGGACCAGGGCTGGGAGGGCGTCGGAAGTAATGGCAACAGAACACACCCGTGTTCTTACTCATCACCCGCGTCTTCATTGGCTGGGCTTTTGCAGGTAGAGCTCCTGGTGGCCGCAGTCTGGTCACTTATTCGATGGGCCTTTTTGAAACCATCTGTCCCGTGGCTTAAGGGCATTGTCACTGGTGTGAGATAGGATCTCACTCATTGACTCATCCCCCACCCCGAAGAAGCCCGCTTTCAAGAAATGAACTGTATTCCTATCAATGTTCCTTCAACGTTTAAAAGATTCCTCGTGACTTGCTCGAAGCTCTTTTAATAGATGCAATGGGTTTATTAAATTCTTCACCAGTTGTCTGTGGGGAACCAAAACCCAGGTGTTTGGATTTAAATAAGAAACATGAGGGAAAGAAGAACATTTGAAACTACACCAGTAGACATCCCTTGGCAGTCAGCTGTTCTCAACTTCAAAAAGCTCTTTTCCAACCAGCAGTCGAAAAAAAATCTTTTCGAAGCAATTCCCATTTGACAGCAATGGAGGAGGACGTGCTCACCTGGTGACATCTCACCAAAAGGCCAGCCGCAGCGTGAGGACGAGCCTGAATTTTAAGCATCCAAATGTCAGCTGATGGAAAACAGGATCGCATGATGGCCCTGCTTCGGGGGTTTGTCGCTGCAGCGAACACGGCTCTCTGCGCGGGGCTCCCCGAAGGAACGGAGACAGTTTTGCATGAGTCTAAGTGCTTTACTGCAGCAAGGGTTTCATCAGTCTTGGGGATTGGCTCTCCATGGCCTGCGGGTGGGGGGGGGCGTGCACCCTGAAAACTGAGAACTTCTCTTTGCATTATGCATGGCCCTCTAGCTCCCCTTGAGTTTGCAAGCACATGAGACGTCTCTTCCTGCAGCCCAACTTCCATTCTCTCTGACGGATTACAAAAGGCACGCAGCCTCCCCCAGTGGAGCAGGGGTTTCAATCACGGGAAAATTTGGAGCCTGCTGCCATCGATACTAAAATGATGATGCGGCCATCATTCCTCACTCAACAGGGGATTTGCAAAGGAAAGAAAATTTCAGCACCAAGTCACTGTCGGCTGTGGCAAGGCAGCTTACAGAGCGTGGGGTCAGGAGTTCAGCTCCCCTCTGCAGAGAGCGTGTGCAGCTTGAGCTGCTGCATGGACAGCGCTGAAACAGGGAGATGGAAATTGAGGTCCTCAGTTTGGGTTGATCAGGGATCAGTAATTGAGCTGAAGCCCCATAAACTCTGTTCATTTAAAACTGAAAGATTCTGGCCCAGCCAGCATGCATCAGTAGTTGACTGTGGACCTATGAACCAGGAGGTCATGGTTCAATTCCCGGTCAGGGCACATGCCCGGATTGTAGGCTCAATCCCCAGTGTGGGGCGTGCAGGAGGCAGCCGATCAATGGTTCTCTCTCATCATGGATGTTTCTATCTCTCTCTCTCCCTTCCTCTCTGAAATCAATAAAAATATATTTTAAAAATAAAGATAAATGAAATCTAGAGAATTTTAATGTATCTAATAATGGAACATAGGATCTCATTCCTTCCAAGGTGTTAACAAGGAAAGGCAAGCTTTTATTTCTCCTTCTCCCCTCCCTTTGAGGAAATAAGAAAACAGCTCTTGGTTTTAAAGAAAACAAAGCTAGGAATCTACAGGGATCAATTAAAATAAGCAGAGGGCAGTCTTTCAAAAAATTAAATACTAAAATAGAAGTTTAATGATTCCTACAGTTACCACCTGCTCGTACACTTCACGATGCAACCAGCACGTCCGAACAGCTCATTAACAGCTGCCTTGTATGGACTCTGTACCGTGTGTCAGACACTTTTATGGATTATCCCATTCAACGCGCACAGCAGCCCTTTGCGGTAGACATCATGACCCCCTCTCCAGTGAGGAAACGGGTAGAGCTGGGGAGCTTGCCCGCAGTCACCCAGCTCATCGATGGCAGAGCAGGGCTGTCCCTCAGTGCAGTCTAACTTCCACCTCATGCTCTCAACCCGAATTTAGTGGAGAAGATATGAATCTCTGACTGTTAATTGGCGATATCTATCATGGGGTTGCTTGTTTGATGAACCAACTGCATCAATAATCGTCATCATAGCAAGGATGGAGCTAGCACGTACTACCTGCCAACCCATGTTTTGAGTGCTCTGCATATGTCAATTTCTGTCATCTTTGCAAACACTCTGAGGCAGGAAACCGAGCCTCCTGGAGCCTTAGCAACTTACCCCAAGGTCACGCAGGCAGCAAGTGCAAGAGCAAAGCTCCCAACCCGGACAGCTGGTGCTTCTGCTCTTGGCCAGGAGTCTTCTTCTTCTTCTTCTTCTTTTTAAATATATTTTTATTGATTTCAGAGAGGAAGGGAGAGGGAGAGAAAGAAACATCAATGATGAGAGAGAATCATGGATCAGCTGCCTCCTGCGCCACCCCACTGGGGTTAAGCCCAAAACCAGGGCATGTGCCCTTGACCAGAGTCGAACCCAGGACCTTTAAGTCCTCAGGCTAACGCTCTGTCCACTGAGCCAAACCGTCTAGGGAATTGGCCAGGAGTTCTCATCTGGATGCACACTACATCCATGCCCTCGGTTATTCCAAGCTCTGTGCGTTCTGAAATGGTTCCACCACCTTCGCACACCTTGGAAAAATCTATGAAGTCCATGATGGATGGGAACAACCTAGTGTATTCTCGAATTGAGTTTCTATTACGGAGTTTAATCCACATATCTGATGAGTAAAAGAGGAATAAGAAATGATGGTTATGTGACATTTATCAAATAACAGGGCAAATGACTTGCACCCGCTAACACGTACTTCTCATAACACATAGAAAGAGACCTATTCCATGACGTGGGTCTATTTGCAGAGGCCCATGCTGTGTCTGTTTGGTCCTCTGTGCCCAGAACAGAAACCTAGTTTTGAATATGTTTTGAACCACATACCAATGTCCGTTCACCTTATAGGCCACTGGTTCTCAACCTTGGCTGCACATTGGAATCACCTGGGAATCTTTTTAAAATCCTGATTTCTGAGCCTCAGCCTCCGGAAGTTCTGTTTCTTTGCTATGGGGTGAGGCCACAACATTAGTAACAAAGATACAGACTTTCCAGAGGATGAAGCCCAGAAATCAGGATTTTAAAAAGATTCCCAGGTGCTTCTAATGTGCAGCCAAGGTTGAGAACCACTGTTATAGGCAAACAACATGGTTGATATGACGCTGCCTTGAGCCAGCTGTGTAAGTCGAGCCTTGATTTCCTAACGGGGATGAGTTCTGGAGTTCTGCAGCGAAAGCAACATGGCTCCCGCGGAGGGCTAGATACGCTGCTTTCTCTGTGCTGACGTCCTCGTGACCTGAATGTCATCGCGTGTCATGTTTCTGAGATTTTCATATTGAGTTCACGACGCCGTGCACTAGTACATGTCTAACAGCGTTTCTTTCTTTTTTCTTTTTCCCTAGGCATCCCCAGTATTTCCAGCATTGGTAGTAAGTAAAAAACAAAAAAAATCACCAAGCAGTCGAGGCTTGCTTCGCTTTGTTGTTCCGCTCCTCAGACCCACTTTCCCCGCCTCCATTTCTGACACGAGTATTTTCTCGGTGGAGTGAATTGTTGGGTTTGTTCTCGGCCCAGGTGGGATGCGATCACGGGTGAGATGGTTACCTGGTAGGGCCTGTGGGTCAGGCACAGCCCAGCTGTCCTTCATTTTGATCAATGAGGGCCATTGCTTAAGTCACCTTAGTGGTCGGCAAACTCTTTAGTCAACAGAGCCAAATATCAACAGGACAACGATTGAAATTTCTTTTGAGAGCCAAATTTTTTCAACTTAAACGATATAGGTAGGTGCATTGTTATTAACTTCATTAGGGTGCTCCTAAGGCTTAGGAAGAGCCACACTCAAGGGGCCAAAGAGCCGCATGTGGCTCGCGAGTCGCAGTTTGCCGACCACGGCTAGCTCATTGAGCGAAAAGAGGAGCAGTCCTATTTACCCAAACTTAGTAACCAACAGCCCCATTGAACGCTCTCCCCTGGACGGGGTACGGTTTCCACCGTCATCTAGAAAATCAGAACAGACGCCAGTGAACGCTTGCGTGTTCCTGAGAATCCAGGGAGAATCCCACGAAGCCGGGGGAGGGGTTGTGTTACCCCAGCAGCGTCAGTCAGTCGTGGTGAAGGCCTGAAAGGAGCAGGTTTCTGACCCTGATCCGTCTTTCTGGAGGAATGGAGGGGAAAACGAATCGGTCTGTCTGTCCCTCCTAAAATACCGAGCCAGGTTTTCCTGATCACTTAGCTTTAAGTTTGCTAGAGAAGAGGGATTAAAAAAAAAAAGACATGCAGCACGGAGGAGTCAAGCTACTAGGAATTTCCGCGGGAAATCTTTTCGTGGAAATATAAGTAATAGAAAGGAAAATGCCCCTTCGACCCTCTGGGGAAGTCAGGCCCGGTGTCCCTGCAAAGAGCCCTTCCCAGCTGTCCGGGGAGAATGGCCTGGAGCTTCCTCGTTGTACAGAAACCAGGGATCCCTGACATGAGCCTGAAAAGCTGATAAGGCCCCAGAACTTTGCAGAATTGCACCCATTTTTATACATCGCACCCTTTCCGGTGGCTCCAACCTCTGGCTGCTGAGTAAGGAAAGGGAAAGCGAGCCGTGAGGAAGCCGAGGCTCCACCCTGGGAGCAGGAGAGGCATTCTCAGTGGTCTCCCCCTCCCTGGCCCCGGGCTTTGCGGGGTGATCACAGGGTGACAGCTGAAGCGAGACCAGCCCCCTTCTCCGATCATTTAGGTAAAACGCTTCCCGAGCCTTGTAAGTGCCAGTCAGGTGTTCCCACTCACAAAGCAACCAGTTTACCCAGCCTGGGACCGCCCGGATGCGAATCAGTTAAGCCTGGCCGGGGCCGGGGCCGGGGCCAGAGCCTGTGCCGAGATAATTGGTGGCTCCATAAACAGCGGCATGCTCTCAGCCACGTGGAGGCCCACCCAAGCCATGAGCCAGGAGCCACGCCGCGTCCTCCTCCCCGCAGCCTTGCTGCTGCGAGAGCTCAGCGCTGCCGCTTGCAGATGAGCAGGACACGACCCAGATGCAGGCCTTGAGGTACAGTAGCATGGACGAGCCCGGGGGGTGGATGATTGGCCTGTAGTGCAACAGAAACGTATGTGCTTCCCCACGGTTTGGTTGATTAAACCAAGTCACGGAGTTCTAGTATATTCTCCGATTTCCAGCCAAATTTTCCTTTTCGGCTTCTACCTAATTCTCCACCTACTGAAATATCTAGGAAATGGCTCCATGGATGGGAGAGAATTGTCCTGTATTACACTCCTAGGTCCTTTGTGTCTTTGGAATTCCTACTCATCTCCCGGCCTCGCTTATGTCTTTTGCCATAAAGTCTATGACTAGTAGCAGCCAGTCTTTGGCTTGCCCTGTCGCTGGCACTGCCCATGGCGCCTTTTGGAGGGGGGCCACTTCAGACGTGCAGGACCTGCAGCGCTCAGAGGCACTGAAGACACCCCCACCACTTGCTCCTTTCAGGCCTTGTGGGTCGCATTTGCACGTGCATTTGAGAGCAGACAGGGAACCCCGGGAAGCAAGCGGGGGCAGGTGGTGAGGCCGCTGTGGCCATCGGCCTGTCTGGCGTTTCAGAAATGGACGGATGGAAAGTGGTTCTGGGGGGCTGGGTGTGTTTCTGTGTGGGGCGTGTCGGGCGTGCTGCATGGATCTCTCACTGTACTGCTCACGGGACATCTCATCTGCCGCCTCCACCTCATGCCTCATCTCCGAGCATCAGCAGATGTTGACCTTTTACACGCCCAGTCGGGAAATCCCAGTTCAGCGGGGCTTTGTTTTTATTTTGAAATCACTGGTGACTCGCAAGGATGCTGCATTGTGCCGTGGGGAAATGTGTTCGGCTTTATTATTTATTAGGAAAATTTAGCTCCTGCATCCCTAACCAAAACCCTCTAGCAGATAGCGTGGTCGCCTGTGCCCTGCCTTCACTGGGCCTCTGGCTGTTCTCCGTGGAGTGCCGTGGGTGTTTCCTTAGATTTTTTTCCAGAAAACAGGACGTAAGAGCTTCCTGGGGTCACCCAACATCACGCAGGACTAGCTTGCTTGTTGCCTGGCCTTCCGGTCCAGAGATGTGCGATAAAGCCATCAGACACGACTGTATCTCTAGGCTGCTTTAATGCCATTCACACGGTTCCTTCTTTGTAGGCGCATAAGGCACTTTGCCCGGTTCCTTTCCTCAGGAATTCATGGTAGATGACTCGCTGCCCGTTCCAGAGGGCACAGGAAGGGCGGTTCTAAGGTACAAACCATGGCCAGGGCTGTTCCCTGTATCCTACAGAAGGAATCAATGAACATAGTTCCACTGAGTATATATAGAAAGCTGCCCTTACAACAGGTGTATCACTCAGGAGACCCATCATCAAAGTGCATCTCAAGGAAAACGAATGATGTCTATTATCGACGTAAATTATTAACGTATATAACCGTAAGTTCGCATACATACAAGGGCTAAAGATTTTGGAGCCCTGATAGATGTCGGTATGGATCTCGAACTGTCAACACCTGTATTAAGTTGGGTTCAAATGCATGGATGGAGTGGTCATCCTTTCCGATCATCTGCTAGAAGTTTTTGATACAAATTTCCCATTAAGGTCATTGGTACCTGCTGTCTCTCCATAAGGAAATAGGTTGTCCACTCATCCCCAAAGGTCCTGGATTTCTGAAAACTCAGTCATTTCTGTGTGCTTTGGCCACTGCTGAAAAAACACTGGTGATGTTGTCAGCAATGAATGAATCCCGAAATAGATCATCCCTAGGGGCCCTGGTTACCTGCTGGGGTAGTAGTAATTCATTCAGGTTTTTCTTTTTTCTCTTCATTTATTATGCCCTTATAAGCAAACTCACGATTTATTCAAGTGAACAGTTGTTGATGCTGTTGATCCAAATTAATAGTTGGTTTGGTGTGGGCGTCTTTGTTAAGGTGGCAAGCTAATTGTTACCTCCTAACGTATATTATCTGATCCTTCATCCTGAAAAGCAAGTGAATTCGCTAATTATGTCTTTATAACAGTATCTTATAAAGAACATAATTAGAACCGCAAGCATTGGCCTAATGTGCAAATAGGTTGGTGTGGGTGATTATCGCTTTAAAAAGGGATGAGTCGGAGGTTAAAGGTAGGCCATCCGTTGAAATAAAAGATCACGTCCGAAAACACCATTTCAGAAAACTTAGAATTTTTTTTTAATAAATCCAAATATTTCTTTGAAAAGGAACAAAAGAGAGAGGAACATTCTGTGAACCCAAGTGAACATGATTTCCTTAAATGACTTTCAGATGATTGGCATGAAAAGCATAGACCAGTGTTCTCCACCTTGGCTGCACATTAGAATCACCTGGGAATCCTTTTAAAATCCTGATTTCTCGGGCCCCACCCCATAACAAAGAAACAGAATTTCCGGAGGATGAGGCCCAGAGATCAGGGTTTCAGAAAGATTCCCAGGTGATTCTAATGTGCAGCCAAGGTTGAGAACCACTGGCCTAGACCATGGGTGGAGGTGTCTGGCCATCCCCTCCTCTCCAGCTCGCTCAATTCGAGCCGATCGTTCACATAAGGGAAACAATTCCGTTTTCCTGTTTGCTCTTACCATGAGCACGGCCTTCATCACAGAGTTAAAGGTCCACCTCTAATTTGATGTAATCGGCAGGACGAGGGAACCAGGGCAGTGTTACCTGCAGGGGTCCAGCAGCCTGTTGGGAAAGCCCAGGCGTGTTTTCATGCTGGAAGACATTAGAGCTGGAGACCTGGTCAAAGTTGTTCTCCAGGCAGCATCCAGATATTCCTGCTCGCGACCGGTTTACGGAGGAGAGCTGGGCCGTGAGAGCCACAAGGTCAGCCATGTGCGCGCCCGAGTGTTCCTGCCCCTCGGGGAGCTGCCGTGTTTGCTTTCCCCCTGCGCTTTAATACTTCTAAATCCCTCCAATAAAAGTTTCATTTGACTTGCCCTTTAACTAATTAGGTTTTATATAACGAGGCGGGGGAAGGATCGGGCTAGCGTCGCTCTGCGACAAAGCTGCATTCATTTGGAACTGTTTGCTGATGTTCTAGGAGGAGAGCGGAGGGACTCGGATCTCTCATGTCCCCAGTATCCTCATCTCAGATCCATTTCATATCTGTGTAACTAGCATCTCGCGTCCATGAAACCTTGGTGGTTACCCGAAAGTTGAATGAACATTAGGACATAGCTGCTTCCTTAATCCTGAAGACTCAATCAACTATTTCAATGAAGGAGGAGGAAATAGCCACTTCCTTAAAAAAAAAAAAAAAAAAAAATCCGAGAGGCTTCGTGAATTTTATTGACTACAATTGCCCACCTTGAGCAAATTGACTTTGTTTCAGGCGTTCATCTTGTCCCAGGTGATTTTAGAATGCTGAGCCACTTTTTAAGTGTGAGCTGCTATCTGTACCTTATCTCCATGGAGTGGGG